AGGGGAAGAATCGAAGCGTGCCGAAGAATCAATGGATGATTTAACTGGCGTAAAAGCGTACGCGCGTACGCGCGTGCGATTGAGTTCGATTTCGTATCTCTCGCGTGTTTTAGACACTGCTCAAGAGCCTAATTACAAAAGTTCTACTCGCAAAAAGTCATTAGAGATTGTTTCTAGTTTGTAATAACGAGTAATAGTAATTAACGACGAGTATGAATTTATCTCGTAAGCCGGCGTTAATAGAGGCGCACTGTACTACGTTAACGCACCAACATTATTCAGCTTGTAAGATAGATCGTATTCCTTCCATTTGAATCAGGCTCCTGAGAGCCGCGAGCTCTAGCCATCAAACGATTTTACCAACTTTCGCTCACACCGGCAATGATATTTATCCGGCAAAAGGAATGCACTTGCTGCTGGTATACCTTGCGCCCAAGTCGAGTCAAGCCGAGGAGAAAATCAAAAGCTGCCCCCTTCACCACGTACGCGTTGATTTGCCCTTTTGTATATAGTATATTGGTCGATCGGCTGAAAATGACGAGGAAACAAATAAAGGAAAAACGATCTCGCGACTCTCGGCGATACTGCTTACAATACTGTATATATATACCGAAACAACATTGCTACGTATTGAATATCTATAACAATGGAACGATTATTATCATCACTTCTTATGAGATCACACCGCGATAGAATTTAAGCGATTATCCATGAGAGCAACGTCCTTCCTAATTATTGTTTCTATGCCTTTTCAAGTTAAATCGTATTCATATACAGAACAGTGAACTATGATGTTAAGTCAGCGCATGCTTGTCAAAGCATGAAACGAAACGGTCTTTGAGTCGAAGGAAATCATATTAAAGATAAGTATTAAATGTTCCTTAAATATTTTATTGTTTGTTTTCGATCGGTAAAAGAGAAGAAGAAGAGTAAGAAGAAGAAGAAGAAGAAAAAGAAAAAGAAGAAGGAGAAAAGAAAAAAAAAATAATACGCTGATGCGTGTATATTCGTTTCAAAAACTTCGATCGACTGGTTAATTCGGGTCAGTGAAGCAACATTGTACGCGTTACAACGGCTCGTGTAATAATAAACGGTTTCAAGAATAGAATTTTTATCTTTGTTTGCGATCTTGAACAAATGGCATCTCCTCTTGCGTCAGTAAGACGAACGTACAAAGATCGAGAGATCTTGCGAATTCAGTTTACCGAAAAATTCCATGCGTTGGACCCTTTTCAAAATTCACACGATTTTAAGCAAGTGGTCATTTGCTCGAGGATGTACATCTCCATGCTTAGGCTCGCTTACACGCGTCCGAAATTTCAAGGTCGTTCGAAAGCCGCTCAAGGTTCACTCGATGGTTGCGAATATCACTGCAACAACATCTCAACGTTTCTGCATCTTATCTTCTCCGAAAGCCGAAAGGTCCAATTGTAAGATCCGTTTCCGGTAATAAAGTTACATTGACTTTGAAGCTGCTTTAAAAAAAAAAAA